AGGTGGCCAATTTTTTTACTCTCTCTTTCTCAATTATTTTATTTTTAAGTTAAATTTAGTAAATTTTTTTAAAAAATAAAATTTATTTTTATTATTCTATTTCAACTTTCTTCCTTATTCCAAATTATTTCAAATATTTATACTCTATTTTAATATTTAATCATTTGTTTATTTTTGTTAAATTATTTTAACAAATAATGACCAATTAAAGGGATGTAATTTAGGAACGTAATTAAAATTAAACTTTAATTAAAAAAATTACCGTTAAAAATTGAAAGTAAGAGAGAGAGAGAACGGATAAATTTAATACAAGAAAAAAAAAATGCTTTATTAAAAAAATAAAGCATTACTAACTAACACCGCCTTTTACATCAAATTGAGTGCATGCATATTTTTAATATATGTATAGGTTTAAAAAGGCTAAAGGGGTAGATTATTTTTAATAATTAATATGATATTAATACCTAACACTTTATTTTTGTAACTATATGTTTTATTTTTTATTTTTTTTTAAATAAAACATTGTCCACTAATCAAATATGTCATTTAATGGTATGGATTATGTAGATTAAAATAAAAGATATTGGAAAAGCATATTTAATAAGATAATTAAATACGACAAGACCAAACAATTTTGGTCGGATTATAATTATATTTTTGAAATATTAATAATCTAAGTGGAACATTCGAAATATCACAAACAAATGCACGAGTGGATACTACTTAATTAAATACTAATAATTGGACAATTATTATCTCTAAAAGCTTCACTTTTATGTAAAAGATATCATTTTTTATTAAAAATATTAACCAATTTATTGCAATTTTCTCTATAAAAACCCTTTCAATCAATCATGTTCATCAAGGTTTATACGTGTTGATTATATATCAATTTAGATGTTAATTGCAATATATTTACTTAATTATTGTGGATTAATCAATTAAGATATGATTAACTAATTTCATTAATTCATCAAATGTAATAGGGATGAAACAATTTTAGAATTATAATAAATTATATTCTTGTATACAATAATGAAAAAAAAAAAAAACATTGACCAAATGTCATACTCCTCTAATTTTAATTAAAATAAGAACTAATACTAACTTTTAATTATTTTTAAATTTCAGAGTAATATTTTTTGAATGATTTATTTTTATCAATTATTAAAATACCATTAAATTATTAATTATTTTTAAAATTTGACGAGGTATCCAAAAGAATCACCTATAACTAATATTATGTCTAGAGCAAAATCTCTTGAAAATTGTCGAGCTTTGACGACGTCGTTTTCGTTTGTCGCATATTCTGTTTTCTTTAAACAACCTGCAAGCCATGAAAGAAGTTGTGAATAATCAACAAGATGTGAAGAGGATGAAAGATGTAAAGATTACAAGTAACTTTCTTGGCTGTTCTTACAGTATCCAGCTAACGAAATTCATCGTGGTACGGATAGTAATCCATCTCGTATTCACTAAAAACCGAGCTATAGAACACAAACGGGTTGTTGATCATGTCGTTCAAAGTTAGGAGTTCATCATTATCACTATCTGCCTGCAATTCACAACGCCAAGAATCTGTTTTTCAGGCATTCAAAATGATTGAAATTATTCATCTCATGAGCCTAAGAATGTTAACACCAGCTATAACAACCCAAACTCGCAGCTAGCAGATATTGTTCTTTTTGGACTTTCTCTTTCGAACTTTCTCTCAAGATTTTTAAAACGTGTCTGCTAAGGATAAGTTTCCACACCCTTATAAAGAATTGTTCTGTTCCCTCTCCAACCGATGTGGGATCTCACAATCCACCCCCTTTGGAACTCAGCGTCCTCGCTGGCACACTGCTCAGTGTCTGGCTCGATACCATTTGTAACAGCCTAAGCCCACCATTAGCAGATATTGTTCTCTTTGAGCTTTCCCTCAAGGTTTTTAAAACGTGTCTATTAGGGAGACGTTTCCACACCCTTATAAAGAATGCTTTGTTCCTCTCTCCAACCGAGATGGGATCTCACACTGGTGATCCCGACTTTTGTTATGTATAATTTTGTGAATTGGTTAAACCCTTAGGCCTGTAAGACGTATCAGAAACAACATGAAAGCAGCAGAGCCAAGTTTTATGAACTAAAAGTACCTGAGAGATGATGTATTCTGCTTGTTGTCTTGCATAGTAAGCCTCTGATGGATGGATCTTTCCAATAACAGGCAGCAGTTCTGTTGCTGAAAGATACCTGCAGAGAAGCCGAGAATAATATTGTAACCGTCCAAGTCTACCACTAGTAGATATTGTCGTATTTAGGCTTTCCCTACTAGGCTACCCTTCAAGGTTTTAAAACGCATCTGCTAAGGAGAGGTTTCCACACTCTTATAAATAATGCTTCGTTCCCCTCTCGAACCAACGTGAATCATTTACAATAAAAAGGCATATATAGGAACAATGTTTACCCATCTTCGTCCTTGTCAAGCTCTAAGAACATCTTTTTTGCCCGTGCCTCCATTTGATCATCATCCGAACTCAACGAACCGTAATCTTCATCGACTCTTCTTACTAAGTCGAAAATTGCCGGGGAAAACTCGCTGAAGCTGAGCTTTCCATCTTTGCTGTTATCTCTTTCCCTGATCGATAACATTATAACGCCAGCAGTCAGACAAAATAATCTAGTAAGACTAAATCAATTCAAACTTATACTTTCGAGACCGAGAAGTTTAGAACAAATGTTCGAATCTTGTCAATCCAAGGCTCTCTTTGCCGTGTTTTTTCGGTTCATGTAACGGTTTCATGATGTTAAACCATCATTATAGCAACAGTTGAATACAAATACAAACTACAGAAGGCCAAACTTAAGAAGGAATCTATCTACCTTACAACATCTCTACACAGCCATAGAAGCAGCTTTGGATTCCTGCTGTCAGCAGGATGCAAGAAGCTGAGAACGAGCAGATCAAGTAAGTATCGATATCGAGTAAGAGAAATCGATAAACGATGAGCGCTTTTGAAGCTTACTCATTAAATTCAGACATGTCCAAAGCCCCTTTCCCATCAGCATCTGATGCATTGAAATGCTCCTCATTCCACCAGCCAATATCATAGCCGGAAGAACTATTATTACCTTGATGAACAGTTCGGACATTAAACATCAAAATATGTGAAAACTAAGCCTATATGTAGTTATGGATTGCACTTTCTCTGTACAATACTACACAAATTCCAATGTTCATGAACAAATGGCAGTTGGGAACAAAGATATCATATCAGATAGTATAGAATGGCCAAAGAAACAGAGAAAAGATACTAAAATACAAATTCAGAGGACCCCAAAATGAAAGAACACAAAGAACAGTATAATCCAAATGAAAAGTGAGGTATAAAGAAAGAAGATGATCTACCAGCGGCCATAACCCAACTGGGGGGCTCGTACTCGGCGAAGGAAACAAACCCATCACGATCCTCATCGTGAGTTTCAAATTCCCTTTCAGTCCGATGCAGAGCCGCATTCATGGCCTGCTGCCAGTTCCAGCGAGTCAATTCCTCTACAGATATAAACCCATCGGTAGGGTTCACATCGATATTGGGGAAAAGAGAGGACAATCTTTCGGTGACATTAAACCTGTCCTCATCGTTTATGAACTCCTCCCACTCTGGGTGGGAATCGGCGGCATCGGATTGGGAAGGGTCGAGGGAATGGTTCTGCCATTCCTCGTCCTCGCGGCGGAGTTGGATGTTGGCGATGAGAGGGTCGAAGGGGGCGTAGTGGTCTTGTGGCTGACGGTGGAGTGGCTGATTGAAGGTGAAGTTGGAGCGGAGGCGGAGGCGGCGGTGGCGAGGGGTGATGCGTCGTGATGGGGTGTGAAAGAAAAGGATTAGAAGAAGGGAAAAGATTGATATGCCGATCAAAATTGAGAGCTTCCCCATTTTTTTGGACGATTAATTGTTTATTTATTTGGGAAATTGCAGAGCTTCGTGTTTTGATTAATGAAGCTGAAAAGAACAGTTTGTCATTAGATCAGTGTGCTTACATCCAAATGGATTTATTTATTTATTTTTTAAGTCTGAGTTAAAAATAAAAGAAAAAGAAAAAGAAAAAGAAAAAAACCCACTTGATTTAATTAATTTTTTCAAATCGTTTCCTCCCTCACGTTCTCTAAAACATTTCTAGCTAACGTGACTCGAACAACATATACTGACGTTGTCTGCGACATTCGAATTTCTCACGACTCAACTTGATTGCTGTCTTGCTGTCGTAAGAGTGCAATTGTGACAAGACGAGGAATTCGAACCTGATTTCAAAAGAATTTTATGAGGAAAAAGAATTAAATGGGGACGGAGGGAAATGAGAAACCATCCCCTCCCCCATAAACACGATGGTTTCAAGGTTCTCATTGTTTTAAATACTAAAAACTATTATGAATTTGATTTGAAAGCTCCAAAATTTGGAGGTATATATTTTTAATAATTTAACCTAAATAAAAAAAAAAATTAAAATCTTCATGATCAATTGCAAAGCCCAATTAATCATAAACAAATTGAAAATCAAAACCCAATTATGTTGATTTTCTACCAGAAATTCTTTTAATTGAAACAATACCCTGTTTTTGTAATTTTGTGTTGGTGAAATTGGCAAGATCAATTGCTTTGGAAACACTCGAATCACGAACGCCAATGGGTAGAATTTGGGTTCGGCCCTCTCTCGTTTTCTGCTATGCAACTAATTTACAGTTGCCCATCTACCCGCTTCCTTCACCGTTCCATTTATTTGGCATACAATCAAAGAACTTCAAAAGAAATCATCAAATTTCAATCGCCCATTGTTCGCTGCTGCTTCCTCCATGGATTTCTTGTTCTCGTGTTCATAAGGACTCGCAGATTCTGTCTTTTTGAACACTATAAAAGGTTTGTCCGAAATTCTGTCTCTATCAGCTGTCTTATTTACAGTAAGTAGTTGTTGGGCATGGGACCTAATACCCATCAGAGTCCCCTTTTCGTAAAGTTCAGTAAAACCCATCATCGTTGCTTGTAATTTCTTCACCTACCTTGTAAAAATCTACTGAATCAGGGCCCCATTATTTGAATCCCTCCCTTTTTTGTTTCAACTTTCTCTGGGTATGTTTCTAAGGCTGAGAGGAAGTAAGAACAGTGAATGTTTTGATTCTTACTCATTTAGGGCTCTTTGTGCTACTGGATTTGGCCATTTTGATCTTGTTTGTGGCTATGGATTATGAGTTTCTGGGTTTTTCATCAATCAAGGGGTTGAAGAACCAGGCACTGTTCTTTATCACTTCTGGCTGTTCTTGAATGAAAGAGTAGTAAAAGCACATGGGTTTCATTTTCCTTTGCTTTTTAGTGCCTAGAATCTATGCTCTGAAGGGATTGAAGCTTTTCATCTCAACTTTGCATCTTTTTCTCTTTTCATTGATGCCAAATCTTATCTCACAATGAAGTGTTAGCTGCTTGTGAAATGGTTTTACTATTTGAGTAGCTGAAGAACATAGAGCCTAAGGAGGTAGTTGGCTTTTGGCGGCTGTTGTTTTAGGTTCATAAAAGTAGATATCAATTTATAACGTGTTCTTGTCAAATGATACGATGATTTCTTGATTCATCTTTGTTTGATATTTATTGTTGTTCTTCACAGATTTCATCATCAAAGGATGAAATTCTTTCCCATTATATCTTTTGCTTTCTTTTGAAAATTGATGTGTTCTCTTACTCTCCAATGGATTTTCAGATTTTCCCCATTTCCTAAAGCGTTCTTGACATGGATTTTAGATCATAGCAGAGCTTCATAGATTTGTCTGTTCTTGGGGAATAAGCACAAGGCTAGATGGCGGTGGACGAAAAGAGTAAGAGCTCGATTTGGAGTCGAGATCAGGACAAGGCATTTGAGAATGCTCTAGCCACTTATCCAGAGGATGCTGCTGATCGTTGGGAGAAGATTGCGGCGGACATAGCTGGAAGAACAGTAGAAGAGATAAAAGATCATTACAAGGTGTTGGTTGATGATGTTAACCAAATTGAATCTGGATTGGTTCCTCTGCCGTGCTATAGCTTTTGTTCTGATGGGTCTCCAAGTGATGATACTAAAAAGAAGGGAGACCACCATGGGGTTGATAATAGTGAACCTTGTATGGGAAATAAAGCTCCAAGATCTGACCAAGAGCGTAGAAAGGGGACTGCATGGACAGAAGATGAGCACAGGTAAGCTTTTGATGATGTGCTTTTAATTCAGCTCTCTCATTCTTCATCATATCTTCATATCTTGTATGTGTTGATGGTAAGCTCATCCAAACTGCAATGGAAATGGGGCAGAGAGAAGTTTCCATCTCTTTTCTCAACTCTCTTCCCTTCTGTTCTATGGTTTGAAGTTCTTAAGGATGAGATAGGATAAGTATGACCTTATTTGCTATAGGTTGTACAACTTGTGTCCTTTGAGTTCTAAAAATGCGTATGCTAGGAAGAGGTTTCCACACCCTTATAAAAAATGTTTCGTTTCCTTCTCCAACTGATATGGGATCTCACGATCCATTCCCCTTTAGGGCCTAGCGTCCTCACTGGCACACCCCGCCTGGTGTCCACCCCCCTTCGAGGCCCAACATTCTCACTGTCACATCGCCTGGTGTCTATCTCCTTCATAGCCCAACGTCCTCGCTGACACACTCCTCAGTGTCCACCCCCTTTGAGACCAGCGTCCTTGCTCACACACCACCTAGTGTCTGACTTTGATACCAACTGTGACAACCCAACCCCACCGCTAGTAGATATTGATCTCACAATATTGTGAGATCCCACGTCGGTCGTAGAAGGGAACGAAACATTTTTATAAGGATGTAGAAACTAATCCATAGCAGACGCGTTTTAAAAATCTTAAGAGGAAGCTCGAAAGGGAAAGTCCAAATTGAACAATATTTGCTAGCGATGGGCTTGGACTCCTGCAACATACTATAAGTGGTCAGCATATTAGCTGCAGTGAGGATATTCCTTTTTCTTTTCTGTTTAGGCACATCACAAGTGGTTCGAACATACCTTCTCAGTCTTTGATCATCTACCCTTTGGTTACCCGGATGAAACAAAATTTTATTAGACGGGTTAACTACAATTGTTGAGAATTGTTGGGAGAGAGTTCTACGATGACTAATTAAGGGGAAGATTATAGGTTTATAAGTAAGGAATACTATATCCATTGATACGAGGCATTTTGGGGAAACTAAAAGTAAAGCCATGAGAGCTTATGCTCAAAGTAGACCGTTCGCGATTCCTAACATCAATAACATAGGACGGAAGCTATGGTTCTAAGATGGAACACTGGTATATTTGCACGGTTGTGCGTTTGTTTAATTGTTTTTACTAAGAAGATCTTGCCATAAATTCATTAATCATTTTGGGATGATACCAAGGCTTTACTTTGAGCATTTGTTACCAAACAGACTATTTCTTCTGGGTTTGGATAAATATGGAAAAGGAGATTGGCGAAGTATTTCCCGGAACTTTGTGGTGACAAGAACACCGACTCAAGTGGCAAGCCATGCTCAAAAGTACTTCATTCGTCTGAACTCAATGAACAAAGACAGAAGGCGGTCGAGCATCCATGATATCACCCGTGTCGATAATGGAGATGTATCTGCACATCAAGGACCAATTACTGGTGAAGCAAATAGTTCTGGAGGAGGAGGAGGAAGCTCTACCAGCAACTCCTCCAAACAGCCATCTCAACCACCTACTGGATCATTCGATGTCGGGATATACGGCGCTCTAGCCGTCGAGCAGCCCGTAGGAGGTCCCTTTGGTCCGGCAGTTGCCACTCCGGTTAGTACTCCTCCAGCAGCACATACGACATATGCAGTCAGATCCCGTGTAGTGAACTCACTGGTTCGTAGACCACCAGTGAATATGAGCTCCATAACATATTAAAGGTAATGTTCTGTTCTGTTCTGTTGTGGCATAGCTTATCTGAAGAGTGGTCTTATGTTCTTGTTTGGTCTCACAGGACATTTACTTGTTAGTACTTGTTTCACGAATGAATGATGTTTGGGATTCAATGTTCTTTTCCAAGCCATTGGATTAAGGTTGTTTCATTTTAGTTCAGTAATTCATAGGAGTGTTGAGAACCCAATCGAATCGAGTTGGATCCAAAGCCGAGAATGTGTTGGGTCGGGTTGATTTTTGCAGCAAACCGACACGACCCGTTTTCTTTATAGGATTTTTGGAGATACAATGTACAAGTAATAGGGGTGGCTTGGCAATTTGAAACCAAACATATTGATGTCATTTTTGAAACATGGTTTGATTTGAAATTGGATAATTTGCCTTTTCTTTTGTACGTAGAAAGCAACCCATCATATCAATACCCCAATAAGAAGACTGAATTCTCTCTCTCCCTTTTTTTTTTAAAAAAAAAATCCTAACGAAGCTTCTCGAGTCATCTCCACATTCCCATCACTCTTAGAGATGTCTACGGGATCTCCGTTTTCGATCCCATTTAGCTTCTCACCACTCTCTTTTTCATTTCCGTTTAGATGAGATTTTCTATTTTATTTTAAGTAGATCTCAATGAGTTAAATAGATATCTCTAATTACTCTGTCTTTTTTAATTTTTTTTAAGTTTGTTTGTCACCTTTTCCTCGTAAGCACTCTCATTTGAATGTAATCCTGATCTACTCGGGTGTCACTTTACTTAGAAAAAACGCGTGTTGTCATGAGAAAGCAAACAAACCACCTCAGAAAAAGGCATACAAAATCAATGACTTTATATGTAGGAGAGAAAAAGGCGAGACTTGGGATAACGTATTATATGATGAATTATGGTCGGCAAAGAAAAATGCATGAATTGCATTGCATGGACCTCCACCTCAGCCCTACTTTATCCACGTCATGCCTTCTTGCTTTTATCAACCCTTTTCTTTTCTTTTTAATTACTTTTTTAAAAAAATTTATTTTCATGAGCGGAACCATTCCTTATTAGGGTATAAAAACCTCTCACTAATAGACGCGTTTTAAAATTATAAGGCTAACGACAATATGTAACGGACAAAAATGGACAATATTTGTTAGGGTTTGAGATGTTACACGTACAGTGTTATGATTTAATATTGATTTCAACTATAAACATCGATGATTGAACATATGCAAAATCTTTTCTTTATATACGATCGTTTAGAAGAATTGATTTCTCACATCATCTTGTTTTGGAGAATCTCATACTAACGAACATTGTCTTTTTATTTATATACCATTTGTCGCTATCACGTTTAAAGCCCATGTGAGACGATGTTGATATCTCCGACATGAACACGTATACCCTTAAACGTTAGGTCATGAAAAGGGTTTTTTTTGAAACAAACCCATTCTTAGAGCTTAAGCCTTTGAATGGATTTTAATTATTCAAATGGTCACAAACAGTTGATGATTAGTTGGATTTGGTATGCTTTGTTGAAGAGGGAAAGAGAAGAAGGGTCCCTCCATAGTCGTTGATGATGAGGCAGACATGACTCAGCTCACAAACCAAAAGCTTTAATTTCATCCCTTTAAATACATGAACTCAATTCAATGATCATCCCACCAGATTCATAGCTTGCATTCAACAATTTCTAAATCTTTCTAAAAATCATTACTTTCTGTTTCTTTGATCCAAAAAAATGAAAATTACAATTCAAGAACATGTTTTTGGAGCTCAGATGAAGTCTTTGGGTCTTGCTCGAGCAAGATTTTTGGCTGATCCCTCCAAGCATTTCCATATGTCTTCTTTAGATGATGGGTCTCAATCAATTCAGAAATGTAAGCTTAAGAAGAACAAAAAAAGTGTTCTTTTTTGGTTGAATCTATGAATAATTTGCTGATTTGGGTTTTGAATTGTTGCAGATAATGGGAAAGATTGGATCTTGAATAGAGTCCACAAAAATGGGAGAAAACCCGACAATATCATCCGTGCACTCCGAGAACATGGTAAGTCATCTACCAACATTCCAAAATTTGAATTAGGATTTGGTATTGAAAGCTATCCTGACCTACCAACGTACATGGTAGGAATAGTTTTCTCTCTTAGAAAGTAGGTGACACGATTAATAGTTCACCATTTCTTATCATTTGGGGTCGGATTTGCAGTGAAATTAGGAGCGAAGATCACAGAAACAGTGAAGGGAAAGTTGAGGTTAGGAGCAAGAATTGTAAGGGTTGGAGGGGTGAGGAAGATCTACAAGAAGCTATTCACAGTGAGTGAAGGAGAGAAGCTTTTGAAGGCATCACAATGCTATTTGTCAACAACAGCTGGGCCTATGGCTGGCCTTCTCTTCATTTCCACTCATAACATTGCCTTTTGCAGTGATAAATCCATCAAACTCTCTTCCCCAAATGGCGAAGAACATGTTAGAATTCACTATAAGGTAATTAAGCCCTCCTTAAGAATGCCTGTTTTTGATTAATTTGTGATTTGTAAGCTTAAGATGAACAAATTTTGCAGGTTGTGATACCAAATGAGAAGGTGATGAGAGTAAATGAGAGTGAGAATGTGAAGAAAGCATCACAAAAGTACATACAAATAGTGACAGTGGACAAGTTCGAGTTTTGGTTTATGGGGTTTCTAAAGTATCAATCAACTTTCAACTCTCTTCAAGCACTACAAAGATGACTTTGAGCTGTCTGCTTTTCTCATGGTTGGATGATGAAGATGTGTCTATGAATATGCAACTTGAAGCATAAAATAGTGATTGTTTTGTATAGATTATTGATTCTATCTAATGACAAAATTACTACATTTTTCGATCTCTTTTGAGCTTTCTAGTCGTGGGATTCTCCAAAAGATCAATTGTTCATCTCTCATTTGGGTGTGGTCTGATTCATTCATGTACTCCTCATTTACGCGAGTGTTATAAAGTACGTATTACCATTCTTGAAGGTACTTAGAGTGGTTCAATATCTCCGTTTCTTACATCCAAGTAGAGGAGACGTATATAAATGAACTACACATCTGAAGTTTAGGAACTTTGAGTCCATGAAAGCATATGATTAAGCTAAGAATTTCAAAAAACCGATAACTTTTGCTTATATATCAACAAGATATATCTTCTTTTTTGGTTATCCAATAAAACCTTTATAACTAAGTGTTAGAGGTAGCAACTCTAGATGTTAGATGCAACTATTCACACATAGGTTATCGTATGTATGCTTGACTTCGGTTGTCGGTGCTATAGGGGTAGGAGTATATTATGGCATAACGATGAATAATTTAGAATTAGAATTAGTCCGATCCAGGGATTCTTCTTTCACTTGGTAAAACTATTTGAAGAATCTTTACCGTTGAAATAAGATGGTGTTCAAACTCTCGAAATGTCGTCTAGATAGGGGGCCTTCCCTTTCTGATTGAACTGACTCTAATGGATCTCGTAAGATTCTTGATAAATTCTTCGATTTCTCCGGAATCAAACTTAAAAGATATTATAAATTGAAAAACATGAGAGGATCCAAGAAGTTGGGAGTTGGGTGGGTGTTGTTGTTGTGTATGGTGGTGAAGCCATTGAAGACAAAAGCATGTGATTTGGTGGTTTATTTGACTCATACATTGCTTTTCTTTCCCTCATTACCTATAAAAAGCTTAACAAAATCTTTGCTGACTTATAAAATTAAGTTTCCAGCTCTGAAAGTGTTGCATGTGATGCCACCACCTCATACACTTTCATGTCCTTATCATCAAAGCAAAAAGGAAGGAATCCATCATCATTGCTGACTTGTATATATAACATGCAAATTTCGATTCCACAAACTAATTCAATCTCGTTCCGGTTCTTAAACTTTTTGAGATCGGGATCCTTTATGATTTCAAAATATCTATTTTAATCGTTGAGCTTTTTGTTCAACTATGTAACAACTATTAAGAAATATTATTTCCATTGGTACGAAGCTTGTTGGGAAAAACAAAAACAAAGTCACGAGAGCTTATACTTAAAGTGGTCAATATCATATTAGTGTGGTGGGACGTTTCTATCAATAGTATTAGAATTCTCAAGCGTCTAACAAATAAGTTATGAGCATGTTGAAGGAAAGGTTCTGATGAATGAGTAAAGTGGACAATATCATATCAATGTTGTTTTTTAATGTTCATCTTTTAGGGACGTAGGAACATATATGATCATAACATCAAATCGGAAGTGATTCGAGGGATGAAAATGGATACAAATTTTCAAATTTAGGGATAAAAATGGAGTAATTTACTCCAATAATCTGTACAAAACAATCACTATTTCATGCTTCAAATTGCATATTTATAGACACATTTCCATCATCTTTGTAGTCCTTGAAGAGAGTTGAAAGTTGATTGATACTTTAGAAACCCCATAAACCAAAACTCGAACTTGTCCACTGTCACTATTTGTATGTACTTTTGTGATGCTTTCTTCACATTCTCACTCTCATTTACTCTCATCACCTTCTCATTTGGTATCACAACCTGCAAAATTTGTTCATCTTAAGCTTACAAATCACAAATTAATCAAAAACAGGCGTTCTTAAGGAGGGCTTCATTACCTTATAGTGAATTCTAACATGTTCTTCGCCATTTGGGGAAGAGAGTTTGATGGATTTGTCACTGCAAAACGCAATGTTATGAGTGGAAATGAAGAGAAGGCCAGCCATAGGCCCAGCTGTTGTTGACAAATAGCATTGTGATGCCTTCAAAAGCTTCTCTCCTTCACTCACTGTGAATAGCTTCTTGTAGATCTTCCTCACCCCTCCAACTCTTACAATTCTTGCTCCTAACCTCAACTTTCCCTTCACTGTTTCTGTGATCTTAGCTCCTAATTTCACTGCAAATCCGACCCCAAATTATAAGAAATGGTGAACCATTAATCGTGTCACCTGCTTTTTAAGAGAAAACTATTCCTACCAGGTACGTTGGTAGGTCAGGATAGCTTTCAATACCAAATCCTAATTCAAATTTTGGAATGTTTGTAGATGACTTACCATGTTCTCGGAGTGCGCGGATGATATTGTCGGGTTTTCTCCCATTTTTGTGGACTCTATTCAAGATCCAATCTTTCCCATTATCTGCAACAATTCAAAACCCAAATCAGCAAATTATTCATAGATTCAACCAAAAAAGAACACTTTTTTTGTTCTTCTTAAGCTTACATTTCTGAATTGATTGAGACCCATCATCTAAAGAAGACATATGGAAATGCTTGGAGGGATCAGCCAAAAATCTTGCTCGAGCAAGACCCAATGACAGCTGCATTCCAAGAACTTGTTGTTGAATTGCAGATTTCATTTTTTGGATCGAAAATAATTAGAGGGTTTAGAAGGTGGTAGGGTGTGAGAATGGAGTAAATGTATATTTAAAGGGAACAAGTTTGGTGCATGGAGAGATGGCGGGTTCAAATTAAAGCTTTTGCTTTTGCTTTTGATTTGTGAGCTGAGTCATGTCTCCCTCATCATCAACTACCATGGAATAATAAAGAATCCATCTTTTACCTATTTTACTCAACAATATGTGCTAGCAAGCAGTGGATTGTGAGATCCCACGTCGATTATGGAGAGAAACGAATTATTTCTTATAAGGGTATAGAAACCTCTTCCTAGTGGGACGAGTTTTAAAACGTTACGGCAGCGGTGACCTTGAGCCATTATAATTTACATTTCATTACGATTACGATTAGGTTATGGATAATGATGTAATTGAGTTATTTTTGGAAATGGTTAATGGATAAATGGGTGTAAAAGAAAGAAGATGCATGTATTTCATGGATGGCTATTCTTGAATTTGAACGTTACTTTCTTTCTTGATGACCAAATTCAACCAAACAAAAATATGGATTTTTGCTTATCTTCTTTGTTGGGCTGTCTTTTTTCCTTTTGCAATTGATGAATGACTCATCATTCACTATCGCCGACATCTCCCTCTTTACAAATAACAATTAAAAAAACATAAATTTCAAAACCCAAATCTATAAAAATGAAATTACAACCGGTGACGTTTTAAAAACCGAAGCTTGAAAGGAAGGATCTAAAAAGAACAATATTTGATAGCTGTGAGCTTAGTCTGTTACAAGACATGACACTTAAAGACAGACAAACACGCTTAAATATGATGTTCTTATGATTTGAGCTACGAAAAAATCGAGACGATCCCAAGAAAGTGGGGGAATTTGCAGGGTGATCGGGGCGAATCGAAGACAAAAGAAGAAGCAGGAGGAGGAGAATGAGAAGGTGACATAAAAGTTAGAGATAATGGGAAGCACAGCTTTGACACAAAATATGGTTTAAAAAGTTATGAGAAAGCATGTGATTTGGTGGTTCATTTGACTCATCCATGCCTTTTTCTTTCCTATCATTATCTAAAATCTTAACAAAATCTGTGCTGACTTCACAAACCCACCTGGCCACCTCCCAAAGTTGCACATGATATCACACATCCAAACTTTCCTTATCACCAAGGGAAATGGAATGCTATCAAACATCACTGCTTACAAAACATGCCAACTTCAATTGTATTTAAATTCGTGAAACACCCCAAACACACACTGTTAGTAGATATTGTCTGCTTTAGCTCATTACGTATCACCATCAGTTTCATGGTTTTAAAATACGTATGTTAAGAAAAGGTTTCCACACTCTTATAAGAAATGTTTTGTTTCTCTCTTAAACCAACGTGAGACCTCACAATCAACTCCCTCTATAGGGCCCCCCAGCGTCCTCTCTAGCACCGTCAAGTGTCTGGTCTTGATACTATTTGTATCAGTCAAACATATTGCTAGCAGATATTGTCAGTTTTTGTAATACCCGAACTACAATGGAAAGTTTAAAATCTAAGTTTACCTTGAAAGTCGATCTCTCTCAATTTTATTGAAGGTTTTAGGGACCAAAATCCGAGATGCAGCCCAAGAGAAAGATGATTTGAAATAAAAGAAGAAGTTAAGAAAAA